CACTGACCACATTCAAGAGGTTTATTTGTTTCTAGAGGGGATAAGGTTATATCTATCTGCTGTGAAGAAATTAAAGATGAAAAGCCTTTCCGGGGGGGGGGAATTGGTAACCCTAATTCAGTACAATAGGATTAAATATACAAGTAGTCATACCCAGACTTTTATGAACAAAGCAATTTGTCAATTACAGTTTCATTTATACTATTGTTGCTCTTATTGTTTCAAAACTTCCAAGTTCTTCTCATTCTGAATATGATTTATTATTTCTCTGTTTTTACCCCATCTTCCCCTTAAAGGGGCTTAAGCAAGGTAACGTTGTTAAAAGACAGTATTAAACTGAACAGCAGTGAGTACATAAATATTAAAAAGAATCAAACAAATATCACACTAAAAAAAAACCTAAACAACATAAAAACACATTCAAAGTAGTAAGGTACACCAATCCATTAAAAAAAAAAAAACTCTGGGAGCAGCAACAGAGAAGGCCCTCTCCTGTGTTGCCACCAAATGCACCAGTGAGGGTAGTGGACTGAGAAAAAGAACTCTCTTGATTACTGTATCTTCATACGGTCCTTGAAATAGCTTGGGCCCAAGCTGTTTAGGGTTTGATGGAAGAATTTGTGAGTTTTGCTACCTTATCAAGAACAAAATTACCAGCCTTATCTCTATGCCTATCTCTTACAAGTGCCACTTGACTGCAATATACGTTTTTCCACTTTCTCTCCTTTAACTAGAAGAGGGACCTCCAAACTTTTCAGCGGGAGGGCCACATCATATATGCTCCACATTTTTGAGGGCCGAAGGAAGATGTGTGCACATTCCCACCCATCCACACTCCCACATGCCTGCATGCCCGTGCACCGCAGCTGCCGCACTGCTACCCCGTCCAGGCTGGATAAAAAGGCAAGGCAGTCCAGTTGTGGCCTGCAGCTGTAGTTTTGAGACCCCTGGACTAGACTGTTCAGTCAGCTGATTCCTAAGTTTGCTCCAGATCTATGGGGAAAGCTCTATGTAGGGTCTCTTACATTCAAACAACATGTACCAGACGAAGCTCCTGCTCTGATGCTTCATAGCCCACCAAGCATATAGGCTTTCTGACCTTCATCCGTAGTACACAAAGCTTGGCCTCCTGCCTTTTTTTTTTTGACTCAGTGTTTTGTCTCCAGAATTTTTTTAAAATCATCTGGCATGACCTTGACCTTGACCTGTGCTTCTTGCCTTTGGTTCTACAATTTTCCCCAGGGATGTGGGAATGTTGGTGCTCAAGTTGGCACCAAATCCATTTTTGAACAAGGCATTTCATTGCATGTTTCCAAAACCCATGATCTGATAGTGAAGGTTTCCTCCATAACACAGTTAACCTAAACTATATCTAGACTACTGCAGCAAATTCTGTATGTGACAGCCCTTAACATATTATCTAGAAACTGCTGTTGTTTTGAAATGGAACAAGCAAGATCAAAGGGCCCAAGGTGTTCTTGATCCTTTTATACCAATGATCTGCCAACTACACTGGTTTCTCTCAGTCCTTTTCCAGGCCCAATTTTAAGTCGATTTTAATTTACAAAGTCCTAAATGGCTGGCTGGATAGCTCGTGATTTTGGTATCTCACAGCGGAGCCAGAGATTAAGGGTTTGATTTCCCACCGTGCCTTCTGCGCACAAAACCAGCCTATGTGGTTTCTGACAAGCTGCACAGTCCCAGGGCTCACCCAGAAGAAAGGCATGGTGAACGCCTTATGAGTATTCTCAGCCTGGCAAACCCTGACAAGGGTCACCGTAAGTTCAAACTGACTTGGGAGAACATGGTTATTAAACGGCTTTGGGCCACGTTCCCTAAGAGATAGCCTTGTCCTATATGCTTCCCTGTTCAAACCTTCATCTTCTTTTTGGAGGCCCTGATCTATGAACCTCTATCAAACAAGGAAAGTTAAGTTCCTAGTATTATTTGTATGTGTCAAGTCATTCCTGACTCATGAGAAACCTAATATGTTTTTTCCGTATATGAGATGTTCAAGGAGCAGTTCACCATGCCACGCTCCCATCTCATGAGTTTCAGTACCCAAGGAGAGAACTGATCCCAGATCTCCTGAGTCGTAGTCCATAATTATATCCACGATATCATACTGGGTCTCACAGCTTGCAACCAAGGATGCTTTTCTTAAAATGCAGGACAATTCACATTTATTTTAAGAAACGTTCTCCATACCATATATATTTTACATGCAGGCTTTGTCATATATACATTTTCCTTCCATTTTTAGAGCCTAAAACTGGATCGTAACAACTGTCTTTCTAGTTAGACAAGAATTTGAGAAATATGAAGTGGGTTGCTTATGAAAGAAGTGTGTTTTATTTATTTTACTGTACCACCTGAGGGTGTTGATCGTTCGCTTTTAAAGGACTTGAAATGCAACTTAACCTAATTGAATGGACTATAGCTTTAGTGTCACACATGCCTCTTCCTACTTGAAAAAAAATCTGTTGCCTGGATTTGCAGCTCCCAGAAATTGCTCTGTGTCTAGTTTGAGAGCTTCCAGCAACTTATTTCTTTATATATTTTAATGTTCATTATTATGTCTTCCACTGCTTTCACGTTGTTCAAGACCCTCAAAGGACATTATGGTTTTTAAAGATATATTATATTGCATTTAAGATAAATGCAAAATGAAAGCAAGAATAATACTGTTTAAAACAACATTAAAACACATCAGAGGCAATCAAAGTATAGTTAAAATGGCACAGAATATTTTTTATTAGAGATGGGGACGAATATCAAAACAGATAGCTTTTTCTGATGAATATAGCCAATTCGTTAAATATTTGTTGATCTGTATTTGTGAGTTCCAGAGACCCCCACGAATATTTACCCATTTTTATTTCTTCTTCATATTAAAAAACAAAACAACATTCTGCCTACTGGCCACCAATCAACTGATCAGCAGCAGAAAGGCAACCACCACCCCACACAGCCATCCAATACCACAGCCTACCCCCACCCCCTTCCTTTCCCTACCTTAGGCCCCATGCCACTCCATCCCCACCGACACTCTCTTACAGTGGTACCTCGCAAGACGATTACCCCGCAAAATGATGAATCCACATGACGCTGAGGTTTTGTGATCACCATTGCACTTTGCAAAACAGTGTTTCCTATGGGCGATTTTCGCTGGACGATGTTTTGGTCCATGCTTCGCAAGACAGGTTTTTTTGGGACCGATGCTTCGTAAGACAGCAATTTAAACAGATGATCGGCGCTTCGCAAAAATGGCTTCCCTATGGGCAATTTTCGCGAAACGATGACTATTTTCCCCATTGGAATGCATTAAACAGATTTCAATGCATTCCAATGGGAAAACGCTTTTCGCAAGACGATGTTTTCGCTAAACAGTGATTTCAATGGAACGGATTAACAGAGTCTTGCAGGACACCACTGTACCTTGATTGGTGCTGCCGAGGTCTTCTGGCCTCGGCGCCACGCATGTAAAAAGAGAGACTGGCTGCCCTTTGCAAAAATAGTGGCTGCAGCTTCATTTAGGGTAGGGAAGCTGCAGCTGCCACCTTTGCAAAAGGCAGCCTGGATTCCCTTAGCCTGCCTTCAGGGAATCCAGGATGCCCTTTGCAAAGATGGCAGCTGTAGCTTCCCTACCCTAAATGAAGCTGCAGCTGCCATCTTTGCAAAGGGCAGCCAGTCTCCCTTTTTACATGCCATGGCTGCGAAGGCCTGATAGGAGCTGGCTGTGTGTGGGGGGTGGCTGCCTATCCGCTTCTGATCAGTGGCTGGTAGGCAGAATGGGCTTCTGTGGCATGTGGTAAACTCTCCTGGGGGGACCCAATTTGTGGGTGAATAGCTCGGATGTCTAATATGCAATCTTCACCAAAGTTGGAAGGCGTGTTGGGGAAAGACATAGGAAGCTCAGTTCTGATTCTGGAGTCTCTAAGTATCTGGGGGAGAGCTTTCCTGGAGGGTCCTCTTTGTGACTATATAGCTCATGGGGTCTGTGATCCAATGTTCACCAAACATTCCGGAGTTGTAGAAGTGCATCCGAGGAAGCCTCCCTGCAAATTTGGTGTCTCTAGGTGGTTGGCGGCCAGTGTTATAGCCATTTAAAGTGCAGACGAATTGACAAATTGATTCATCAATTCATTGAAGAATATTCGTATATTGATATTTGTTGATCTTGGTGAATAACGGATCAAAAGGAATCACCATTTTTTAATTTGTCCCCATCTCTAGTTTCTATATATTGGGGATGAAGCCAAGCTGAGCTCCTCAAGGAGGGGGTTTTGCGGTCAGGATGCTGCTTATTGAGGCTCAGTACTCATCATTTTAGTCTGTCTCACAGGCTCTATAGGACCACCATCATCCCATCATCTCTCCCTGTCTCTTGTCAGAAGTGCACAAGCTTCCTGTCCAACCATGTTGCTCCAGTGTTCTCACTCTAAGGCAGGACGGGGCAAAGAACAGGCCATGGGCCAAAAAGTGGATCTCCCCCACACATCTTATTTGCATCTTTCCCTAGTTCTCAACAAGTGAACCTAGAAATGACCTTCCAGTTACCACTGCATTTTATTTTTAATTTGTTTGCTTATCTGTTTTACATTTCTGAATCCCAGACCCTTGGGATGCAAAGCTGCCCCCTCTTCCCTGTGATGTCCATCAGTATTCGAAAGCCTTTGCGCAAAATCCAACATTAATCCTTCCTTGAGCAGAGCCACTAAAATCAATTGGACTTCTCTCCAATAGGTCAGCTTTAGGCAGGACTAACAATGGATGTAAGTCCTTTATATTCAGTTTTGCAAGCTGCAGCCTTGGTGTAAAACAACGCATGGGCTATTTCAGCAAAGTCTAGGGATTACTGAGCACTAGGATCAGAGACCACCGCTGCTCAGAGACCATTGGTAATGGTGTGGCTAAAAAAAATCTTGTAAATAAATAAATAGGATATGCAGCACTGTATAAATACATGCTTCAAACCCATTCTATGCAGGTACTGTTACCTCTTCTTTCATTGAAAAAACTTCTTGAGGCTTGCTGCTTCAGCAGCCATTTCATCCTCTGATCTCCACTTGCTAGGCGTCTCCTCTGCCTCTTTGTCATGTTGCTGAAGCTAAGAGGGACAAGAAAAGAAAAGGTGAAGAATGAGGGTTGTTAATGTTATCAGGAAACTGTTAGCAAGTGTTAGCAAGCAACTGTTAGCAAGTGTTAGCAAGCAAGTGTGGATGACTAACAAGCAATGAGGAAAGCTAGAATCAGTGGACATTATGATTAGGGAGGAGCAGACTCCCCCTCCCCGTTTTGTTTCAGACGTTGACTCTGCACCGAATTCTGTGTTCACTCCTGAATTGTGTTTTAACTAAAAGATGCTTCCAGAATTAAAGCTTGTTTAGTTTGCCTTTTTTAGAGAAGCTACCGACATGAATTTGACCCAACTCCAGGAAGCAGTGGAAGACAGGAGGGCCTGGCGTGCTCTGGTCCATGGGGTCACGAAGAGTCAGACATGAGGTAACGACTAAACAACAACAAATAGTTTGCCTTGTTTGTCAGTTCCTTCAATTGCATCATATCCACATGAGCAGATGTTCACATACTAGAAAGGCATTACACCAACACACAAATCTGGAGGCAACAACATTAAGATTGTGTTTTTCTTTCTAGTGCTTATGAAAAACAGAGGCACAACAAGCCTATACTTCATATAATTTTAAAAAAAGACATGAAGGTAAAGAAGGCTGGAACAAATTGCATGTGTGGAGTTCTTGAAAAAGAGATGATGAGGAAGGAATTTGGGAAAGGAAGAGAGGCAAGCAATGGCACTAGAGACGGGCATGGACTATCAAACTGGCAGTTCGTGCTGGTTCATTTTCCCTGCCCCACCTCCTCCAGTAGGCACCTACTAAGAGGCGGGCAGAGAAGCCAGGTTGCTGTCTCTGAGTGTGTGCTCGCTGGAGGAGGTGAGGCAGGGAAGTACGAACACCCGTTCAGCCAAAAAATGAACTGGAATGCACCCCCATTTTGGCGATGTGTGCTCATTTCTAAATGACACAAAACAGTGGAGGATTCCTGACAATTGGGCTCCAGTAAAGAGATGGGCTACCTACCTATGGTCTAGGGAAGTGGCAGAGGAGAAAGAGAAGCTCACCCTGCCACTTCTGGGTGAGAAGCGCTTCCCTCGTCAACCCAGAGGTTGCCCTGGCTGAGCTACAGTGTGAATAAGATTTTTGAAGCTCTCTATGGCTGCAATCCGATCCCTATTTACTTAGCAGTAAACTCTACTAAGCTGAACATGGCTAACAGCTAAGTGGATGTGTATAGGACTTATGTTGTAATTGCGACATGATCAATGGATCTTAAAAAGCATAATCCAGGCTCCTAGTAGAAACCATTTTTCTCAGAGAAGCCTTCTGCATCAAGTAGGTCCTAACCTCATTCAAAGCTGTAGCTCGCAATTTAATAAAACTTTTGTTATGGGTCAAATGGGGTCAGCCTATTATAGTTGAAACAGATATATGCGGAATTGGAGGTAAAATAAATGAGCTGGGAATGGGGGTGGCGAGGGAGATAATAATCACCAAAAGAGTTCCTAGAATAAAAGAGAAAGGGAAACGATGAAAAGGAGAAATACAGTACATGTTTACTTGGAAGTAACCCCTTTTGTCTTTTTTGTTGTTGTTGAAAATTACAAATTTTATTCATACGTACCAACATACAGAAAAAAAATAAAACCTAATACAGTGGTGCCTCGCATAGCAACGATAATCCGTGCAGCAAAAATCGCTGCAAGGCGATTTCGCCGCTATGTGAAATTAAAAAGGCCATAGGGATGCATTAAAACCTGTTTAATGCGTTCCTATGGGCTAAAAACTTACCTTTAAGCGAAAATCCTCCATATGGCGGCCATTTTGGGTGCCTGGTAAGCGAGGAATCAGTCCCTAAACACAGCAGGCAGCCATGTTTTTTACCCAGCAGCCATTTTGGAACCACCGATCAACTGTTTTAAAATCATCGTTTTGCAATGATCGGTAAGCGAGGCAGGGTACCGTTCATCGCAAAGCAAAAAAAAACAAAACCCATTCAGACCATCGCAAAGTGATTGCAAAAGCGATTGCAAAATCCTCATCGCGATGCGATTTCATCGTTAAATGGGGCGTCCTTTAAGCGAGGCACCACTGTAATGATAACAACAAAACTTCAAAGCTAAACATGCATACTACACCTACAGATCAGATATTTTGCCATTGTCTGGTCATCTGAATATCATCAAACAATTCTAGTCAGTACTGATTCACCATAAACTAATTCTTCCCCTAAATTCCTGTCTTTTCCTGGGCCCAGTTATATATCAGCTTCCAGCTTTCCTTTACAAAGTGTCTCAGTTGATCCCGTAGTACCTCAGAAATGCCCATCCCTAGTGAGAAGAAAGAGAGGAAAGGAGATTCCATGTGAATGAGCTATATATAGTCTTTTTGCATTTTCCTTCTAAGAGCTCAGTGAAAACAACAGTATGTCATCTTGTAGCACTGTCACTTTTAATAAAAAATAACTTGAAATCTAGTTGCCAGCTTTTGGATGCCAGGGTGAAGAAATGCATCTCCCACCCACCCCCAGAAATATTCAGAATCTCACTGTTTACAAGCAATCAAAAGTGACAGTCGGTGCTTATTGGTGGAAAAGTATTTTCCACTCTGAGGCAAAAGAGGAGAGTAATTTATCAGGAAACCCAAGAAGTCTGACATCAGTAAAGATTTCCTCAACAAAATGTGCATTTTAGAAAAGATGCATTTACAGTTGGAGTGCTCAGCTTGGTTCGGGTTTGTGGGTTGCTTTGGTTTTTTTGTGTGTTGTTTTTTAATCTCACAAGATAATTTTAAAGATTGCTGAGAAATGTGTACATTTTGCTTGCAACTTACATTTTTGTAACTAGCCTGCCTGATATGGTGACCTGTGTGGTTTTAAAATTTGTATTAATTTACAATGAGGCCAAATTTCTCATTGGGAAATTGCTCCCTCCTCAGACTGCTGGGAAAAGTGTTTTTTCTCCCTGGTTTCAGGGAGGAGCGGAGTTTGTGGTTGTGTTGGGCTCCAGGCTGGGCTTAACCTTTTGATCTCTTAAAACCTTTTTTAAAAAGCTTTATTGTTTTATTAAAAGAAGAGATTGTATTCCAAAGCTGGCTTCATTCCGTAAGATTGCAAAGTGATTTACTGAGCCACAGAATGTGAGAGAGAAACAGGAAGGTTCAAGGCCTTTGGAAGATTCAGCAGCAGCATTTCAGCTATTTAATTACTTAATTATTGGGAGCTGCCTGATAAGCCTGGTTATCTTGTTCATTGAAGGGGGAATTTCTTTTTTAAAGGAAGAGTGTGGGGGAAAATTTTTCAGGACAGGGAGGCTGAGAAGACCAGATGCTTGAATCACGGAGCTAAGGAATGGTTACAGACTCAGATTTATACAACATAAAGAAGCATTTTGGCTTTGTGAAGAAGTGAGGCTGCTGGGGGAATGGGTTGTTTTTCTTTTTGTCTTGCAGTGTTGCTCTTGAATTATTAACTCAGCCACATCCGACTCTCTCACTGACTCCTTTACCAACTTTTTTTGAAATTTGGATTTTATCTGCTAAAGTTTGGAAGGCCCAGACCTTACTTGTTTGACGGCTGTTGCCATCTGAGTTTACTTTTGCTGGGTGCTGAGTTTAATTCTGCTAGTCTTGAAGAAGAAGGTTGTTTGCTCAGAGAAAGTGAGTGTGTGTGTGAGAGAGCTGTTGTTTACATGGGATCTGTCATCATCCAAGCCTGAATTGAGTTTTTCAGGCCCTCTTCAGTCCTCAACTGGATATAGTGGTTCTGTTGCGACTCATTTATGGTGCCAAACCGTGACAACCTTGGCAATTCAAGTTTTCATTCTGCTCAAGTGAGTAAAGGGTGCTGTCTATTATTTTAGATGCCCTGTTTGGGAACACCTTGATTGACTGATTGAACTTCTAGACCACCCATTTGACCAATAATCACTCTAAATCTACTATGAAACCAATGAAGTTTAAGCTTCAGGACCTTAATCCCAGAGGGCCACCAAAAGGTAACCTTTAAAAAATTTAAGAGGATAAGAGTGGTTATCCAGACCTCATTGCTGGTTGTGAAGAGCCCCCCAGAAGAGTTCAAGTTTCAGGTCCCCTAAAATGTAGGTCTGTCATTTCCTTCAGTTATCTGCAATCACAATATCTTGCTTTATGCTGATGATTTGATTTTGCTATTTCTGAATAAAACTGGCCTTAAAAGAATGTTAACCAGATCTGTAGTGGGGGAAATGCAGTACAGAATAGGTAGAGAAGTAGTGTAGGGATACCCAGGTCCTCTAAATGAATTCAAGTCTCCTGGGCCAGATGAGTTACATCCAAGGATATTAAAAGAATAATCTGGCCACAGTGACACATGCCTTAGTGGGGCTGTCTTTGAAGACGCTTCAGAAACTTCATCTGGTGCAAAACTCTGTTTGGCAATAATATTTGAGAATTCTTGGGCAACAGGAGAAGTCCCCACAGGCTGGAGGAGGGCAAATGTAGTCCCTATCTTCAAAAGGGGAGGGGGAAGAAGACCGAAATAATTATCGCCCAGTCAGCCTGACATCAATTCCCGGAAACATTCTAGAGCAGATCATTAAACAGACAGTTTGTTATTACTTTGAAAGCAATGTTGTCTTTACTAAAAGTCAACATGGGTTTCTCAAAAACAAGTCATGCCAGACTAATCTGATCTCTTTTTTTGATAGTGTTACAGGCTTGATAGATGAAGGGAATGCTGTGGATGTAGTATATCTTGATTTCAGTAAGGCCTTTGACAAAGTACCCCATAATGCCATAATGATACCAGAGACCAACTAATAAATCCTGTCCTTAAGGTTTTTGTTGCTAAAATGTTGGCTCAAATACTTTATGGGGCAGAAATATGGATAGATGGAATCAAGTCCAGTTGGGAGGTTCTGCAAAACAAATTCACATGGCAGATATTGGGGGCTCCTCTAGGGACTCCTTAGGCTCCTCTAAGCACTGAGTTGGGTGTTCCTTCAATTGGTGCCAGAACTGATTTGGCCTATGTTAGATATTGGCATACACTGAA